TATTATACCCTAAAAGAATTATGTATTATTATTTAATGTTTGATTAAGATATTTACATCAACGGTACCTTGTAGACTGCTTAATAGTCTTGTATGTTTGTTTGTTCTTTAAAAAGATCAACAAAATTTGCAAACCTTTTTCTAGACTGACTAAGAAAAAAGGGAGAAGACAAAAATTAACTAAAATCAGAAAGAAAGCAGGGGCGTGGTAGAGCAGTTGCTTCTTCTACTACATTGGAGTGGGCTTTGAGGAGAAAGATGTCCTCTTCTTTTTCTGATCTCTGCTGGTGACTCTCTTTATGTCACTGCAGTTGGGTGTCTGGCAGGCTGCCTACACGAGCTGTGGCTACTGCTGTGGCATCGAGCAGCTTTTGAGGCAGCCACAGCTGTGGTGGTGGGCCACTCATGAGGAAGTGGTGTTTTCAGCATGCTCCTTGCCTGTTTCCTGGCAAGGGATGCTGCCCTTGGCTCCTGCCTAAGGACCCTGGGCATACTCTGTTTCTTGCCTGCATCTNGGATGCTGCCCTTGGCTCCTGCCTAAGGACCCTGGGCATACTCTGTTTCTTGCCTGCATCTAGGTAGAGGGATTAGACCTCAGCTCCTGCCTTAGGACCCCAGGCATGCTCTAATTTTTAATTTTTTTTTTTCCAAAAGATGACCGGTAAGGGGATCTTAACCCTTGACTTGGTGTTGTCAGCACCATGCTCACCCAGTGAGCTAACCGGCCATCCCTATATGGGATCCGAACCCATGACCTTGGTGTTATCAGTACCACACTCTCCTGAGTGAGCCACGGGCCGGACCTCATTTTTAAATTTTTAATGTTACATAAAATGATGGTGAATCTTCTAATCAACAGAGTCTTACATGCATATTTAATGAAATTCAGTACATGTTTTGTGGTTTGCAATGTGGCTTCTTAACTTTATTTGAAGATAAGGGATTTTCTAATATACTCCAATTCAAATTGTGCTCTAAAACAATGTCTCCCAATATTTTAATGTAATGGTACAAAAAGAATATTACAATATTTATACCATTCTTGGGTAGATACAGGAGGCTGCTTGTGACTCAGGGCAAGTGGCCTGGGTGCTAGTAGCCCCAGCCACTAAGTGAATAACCATCTTGGCACACCTGTAACCAATGGCATTGAAAAGATCTGCTCTGAGGTATACTAGAGTTACATGGGACACTTGATAGCATTCCAGATAGGTATTTACTTCCCAAGTAGAGTTAGATTTTAGGCATTTGTGAAATACCTAAAATTTTTCTTTTATTTTCCTTTTAAATTTCTTTGCAGGGTGAAGGTCAGGGGAACAGGGTCTGATTCCTATTTCAAACTTTTTAAATTTCCAGACTACTCCTAACATCACCCAATAGCAACATATTTGTTCTAAGTGCCACACCAAAAAGCCAAATACGAAAACATATGGTATTAAATGTCCCTATATATACCTGTGACTCATATGCAAAACAAGAAAAGGAAAAGGATCTTTTCACTCTCTGTAAGCAAAACTGATCTAATTATAACAAACTCATTGTTAAAACTTCACGTAAAACAAAGTTTAAAATGAATGAATACTACTTATTAGAGACCTGTAATTTTAAGTAGAGTTTCATATCACCCCATTGTGAATGATGAGGGTTCTTCTTCACAATAAATTTAAGAGCTGGTTCTCTTTTTTCTAAATCACAGTCTTTCAGAAGGTATTCTTGTTTTGCTTCTGTTTTGGTTATTAGCCTGTGTTTATCATCAGCATCTCTGAAAATAGATTAAGTCTGTTACATAAATTGTTTTAGATAAACTAAGTTGTAACTGCCCAGCTAGCTTAGTCAGTAGAACATGAGACTCTTAAATAAACTAAGCTTTCAAATAGCCCAGCAACTGAGGAGCATGTACACGAAAAGGGACATATAAAATACTTTCTATAATTCTCATGGTCATACTAGCAGCATAAAAATTCTAACAGAAAAATAGTTTATCTTTTACTTATTCTGAGAAGTTAAATTATTAGCAGCCAGATCCATGTCATTTAACAACTTAAGAATTTCCTTAAAGTCCCTATTATTCCAGAAAGGATATGAAATGACCTATAAGAGTAGAGCAAACGTAAATGAGAACAAAGACTCAGTGAGAAAGAAAATATAAATTAAAGGACAGAATCGGTAATAAAGAAAGAATATAAATATGCAAGGTCTAACCAGCCCTGAACAGCTGAATTTCCAGTTGGTTTTGAGCTTTTTCAAAACCAAGGTAAAAATGGAAACATAGTCAGTTTCACCGTTCTTGTCATTCACTTGTTCTCCATCTACATGCCAGGTTCTGTTCAAGGAAACAGGAATATAGCAGAAAATAAAATAAAGCCTTGTTCTAATGAAGCTTATATTCCAGTTAAGTGAAGATAGTCAACAAACAAATATAATAAAGCCAGGTAAAAGTGATACAAGGAATAAAAAGTATAGTAAAGAAATAAACTTTCAGAAAAGAGAAGGTCACTGATGAGGGGATATTTGAGCAGAGCCCTTAAGAAATTTGAATAGCTTGAGAAAGAACATTCCAGAGGAAACAGCATGTGCAAAGGCTTTAGCGCAAGGGTACACTTTGCAACTGGAGCTCATAGCAAGAGGGCCAGTGTAACTGGAATGCTTAAAGTAAGTGATGGTGAGGAGTGGTAGGAAATAAAAACAGAGATAGGCAGTGGCCTTATAAGCAATGGTGAAGACGATTTTATTGTAAGAGGGATTAGAAACCACTAAAAAGTTTTGGGCAAAATGCTATATGGAGAGGAGACTCTAGGGGTGCAAAAGTGGGGAGAGGCAGAGGCCCGTTAGAACACTACTGCAGTGGTGTCCAGGCGAGAGCTGATGGCGGCCTAAACTAAGGCAGTAGTGGGAGAGAGCACGAGCAGCAGGTGGATTCAGGATATGGTTTGAACACAAAGCCAAGTGGATTTGGAATTAAACATGGGATGGTAGAAACATAGCCAATAAATGATGTTGACATTTACTTAAGGGTAAACACTAAAGAGCAAGTATAGGTCAGAGATGGCAGAAATCAAGTTTTACCAGAAGAGTCTATCACAAAACCATAGGACTTAAAATTGGGAATAACTTTAAGAACGCTAAATAATTTGGAAGTATAAACTAAAGGACATGTAGGCTACACTGTACTAAAATTATAATCTTGAAAGATGCTGAAAGAGAATAGAATGGAGGGCTGTGTTCCTAATGATGTATAAACACAAAAGTACGTTTTTTTTCCAGACTACTACAGAGCTTTCTTTAAATTGACACAAGAGTTGTTCCATTTCCTCATGGGAATAAAATTATATGTGCTGCTTCAGTTCCTCAAAGCTATAGTGGTCATTAAGGAGAGTGATAATACTGTAGACCTTAACCACTGTGTCAATGAAATGAGTTTGTAATTTATAACTCCAACCGGGGTGCCAGAACATTTCCAGCCACATATCTGATCATGAGACTGGGGCAACATCTCCCATTCTCACTGTCTAATGAGACCTCCACTTAGCAACAAGCCAGGATGACGGCTCCCGTGTCTGCAGCAGGGACTCTAAAGGGGGGGTCCTCTAGGAAGGTAAGGAGTTGATCTAGGCTGTAGATACAAAATAGGAACGGGGAACAGATAAAAGGGCCAAGGAAGACTCCAAGACAGGACCTTCAATGTGCAAAAGACAGCAGCACAGCATGCAGCTAAGTAAACAGTAGGGATAAGAGAACCTGTCGAGTGAGGATTTATACTGGGGTGATATAAAAAAAGCATAAAGGCTCAAAGAAAATGAATGCAGAAGAATGTGATTTTTCCTCATCTATTCTCTTTATCAGAGGAGCAAAAGGCGAATAGAAAACAGTGTTCTGAGCTTCCCTCCTCTCATTGAAGGCCCCAGTCCTCTGACAGCCAAGGTGTCAATACACACTGGGATA